CATAGTCATGTTTGTGTCTCATGGGTGTCACATCAGATTTATGCACCAGCTTGTACAAGAATCAGTCCCCTTCGCTTTAGCCTGCTGGTCACTCTTTGCTGCAGACTGCCAGCCCAGGCCCACTCCCTCTGGCCCAGCTTCCATCTCACTCAGCTTGGGCCCTTGGCCCACGTCTCTGTTCTGGGCCCCCGATCGCCCCTTTCTAGGCTCCAACGCTAAGCCCTCCTGGCCTCAAGCCACCTGTACTGCTCATGTAGTTTTAGATCCTGAACCTCCCAGCCTCTACTTGTCTGTCATGAGCTCCAACCCTTGGCAGGGCTCCAAACACCTTGTGCCACTGAGGCACCCCTTTGGTCTTAAGCCTCTATTTGCCCCCTCCCCAGGCACCCTACTCTATTTCAAATCTAGGTGCACCCCTTATGTGCCCCCCCAGTGACCTCTTCACCCCCCCCACCTTTTTGGCCACAACCCAAAAATAAGCCCTCCAGCTATAACGTAACTTCCCAACTGGGTTGGAGCACAAATCCCAGCTCCTTGGCAGTATCACTCAGCTCCCCACCATCTTGAGTCCTATTCCCTTGCAAGTCAACAATGTTCAACTTGCGGCAACCCCGGGAGCAATCTTGCATCTGCAATCTCTTTAGCTCTCCTGCCCAAGAGCTCTTTCCTCAGCAGCTCCCAGAGCCTAATTGACCACTTGGGCACAGGTCCTGGGTTTATATGGCTGGAAGCCAGTACCCATTTTGGTCACGTGCCTTCCCCAGCTCTGCACAGGGTTTTCCCCCTCAGTCAAAGGCCAGCCTGCCTTCCTGCATCCACAGCCAGCTGAGCCTGCTGTGTCCTCCTACAGCGGCAGGAGCCTCTGGGCCCCTGCCACAATTCCCTCTTCTCCCCTTCCCTCACTCCCCAAATAAGAGGGTCCAGGTCCCTTTACATAGTGGTATGGAGCGGGGCGAGAGCTTCATAAAGGACCTGCAAAGGAAGAACACAACCCTCGCCCTTAGTCTCAGCAAAGAATAAATTAGCAGTGCCTGCCATAGAACAAGGTGGGCACTTCCCACCTTGCCTACCTCAGTCACGGGGTACTGCGGCTTTCTACCACTTGATGGCTTTTTGCTGACCTTTTTTCTGTGTGATAAACTTGCACCCAGCATCTCTGGGCTGTGGCTTTAGGCCAGTTCACCGCATCCCTCATCATATGCACCAGAGTGGATTCCCTTCACCCTGCCGGCACTTTGAAATTGGGACTAACTGAAGGCAAAACTGAAGGGAGAGGACAATCCCGCACCTCCACATTGTGGCTTTGTATCGGGGACCAGTAGGAGTAAAGTCTGCTGTACAGCAGGGATACAACCAGTGATGCAGCCCCTGATTAGAGGGTGTGCACTGGGCTAAATCTCAGACAGCTGGGCCCCTCACAGGCTCCTCCCTGCCCCTACTGCAGTGGGGCTCTCTTAGCTCCTCTCCATGGGGCACTGCCGAATTCAGCTCTGCTCCTGCCACCAGTTAAACCGGTGGTGCTCAACCTTTTTGTCTGGTGGGCTGGACAGCTCTGTTTGCAGGCTGGATCTGGCTGGAGCCAGGGGTGGATGCAGCGGGCCTCATCCAGCCATGCAGAGGGGGAGCAGGGGGCAGCCCAGCCTTAATCCAGCCCTGGGGGAATGGGGCTCTTGACTGGACCCCCAGCCCCCTCCAGCCTTGGTGCCGGGTTGGGGGCATCACCCAGCCTCCACCTGATCCTGAAAGCAGGGAGATGGGGGTGGTCCAGTCCCAGTCCAGCGGTGGGCGAGGGAGGAGGTGTAGCCTGGCGCTGTGGAGGGAAGGAGGCACAGCTGCATGCAGGACTTGGGGTTTGGAGATTTCGCAGGGTGGAATCTGGGCACCAAATTCCCGGCCCCATGAGGAGCCCCGCAGGCCAGATGTGACGGCTCCACGGGCCACATTTGGCCCACGGGCTGGAGGTTGAGCACCCCGGCTTCGCCTGTCCACAGCTGCAGGGAGAGGCTTTGCCCCGAGCATGAAACCCCAGGCGCGGCGCGGCGCGGCGCGGCGCGGCGCGGCGCTGGGAGGGTCGGTGTGGGGACACCCAGGTGCAGAGTACCGTACGCCCACGCTGTGCTGGGGCAGGGGGGAAGCAGGGCCCCGGCAAGTCTCAACCAGGTCTCGCCCAGCCTCTCCCAGGCACGTGGCCTGGCGGACGGGCGCCACCGTGGCCCAGCCTGGTAGATGGGTGACGATGTAGTTCAGCCCGATGGACGGGCATCGCCGTGGCCCAGCCCGGCGCGCGCGGCTTCTCCGGCGCGTGCCTCAGTTTCCCCAGCAGCCCCGTCCCCGCGGTGCCCGTGCCCGTGCCCAGCCCGGCGCCGCCCTGGCCCTTTAAACGCCCGCGGCCCCGCCGAGGCTCTGCCTCCTCGCCTGACACAGCACCCGCCCGGG